TTTTTTGTTTTATCTTTTACGATTTCTTAACCTCTTGAGGCCTCTGAAAATGTCACGCGATTCGAATTTGAAATTTTCGTTTTTTGAACTCTTATATAGAATCTGAAAGTTGCAGAAAAGTACAGTTCGCATACTTTACATTTATTCAATATGACATTACGATTACAATAATTAATATACTTATCTAAGAAAATCGTGAGGCAAAAGGTACATTCTTATTATTATTTCTTAATTACTGTCGTCTGAATTATAATGAGAATTATTCGGAGAATAATTAATACTTTGAATGTCTCGTTTCATATAATTTTGGGGGAATCGCCTGGAGTCCCCCGTTTCGAGGAAACGATTTTATATTCAAATAGGAACAATTTTCGCATACGTTTCTGAACCTGTTTGAATTTAAATAACGAAGTGTCTTAGATTTACATATATTTTTATTATTATATTTACATTATTATTGAAATAATAAAATTCAGCGAAATATATTACACAATTTATAAACACAAACTTGCCACTCAGAGTGTTAAAAATCTAGCGTCCTCTGTTTCACATAAAATCGACATATTTCACTTGACAAACAAACGACAGTAGAATCTCCTGTTTACGCACGAGGCACGTACATCTGTGCATTTCTCCAACGATTCAGAAAAGAAAATGCAACACGATCGATCTCCACCTCTATCTCTCGTCCTTCCTCATCGTTATCTCACCGTGTCGTGCCTGCTCACAGCGCAATGACGATTCGGTCGATTCTTCTCACAGCGCCGATCGACTTTTATTATTACGTTGATTTTATTAAAGGGAGAGAGAGAGAGAGAGAGAAAAAGGCGAGCACTGTCTCAATTGGTCACCGGGTGAATAAAATTCAGCCGAGACGTCTGGTAAAACTGGTTCTCCAAAGACCTTTGCCAGGCTACGTGTGTGCCCTCTTACCAGTTGGCCAGGCTCAGGCATGAGAAATGTGTCGCCGCCGTTTCGCATCGGGAACTGTTTTGGCGAATAATGGCGAATTTACACCATTCGCGCAAAGCACGAAGTTTCGTGTGAAAACAACTGCTCGAACAAACGAGAAGTTTCGTATTTCCTTCTTCCTCGATGATTTTTGTATTATTCTCTCTCTTTCTCCTTCGTTTTTTTTTTTTTTTTTTTTTTTTGGTTTTTTTTTTTTTCATTTTGATGTTTCTATTTATCTTACCGACACGATACTAGAATTCTTCTCGATTGTCGTTTCCAGAATGATATTTCGCTGACGTACTGTTCGCGCGTCATGAGAACGTAACTATTTATGCAGATTTTGACGTTCGTAGACGTCTGACGAAATGGATATCGTAACAACCGCGTAACTTCATTTTCTCAGAACGATGATTTTCGTAATCGTATACAAAATTTGACGAAATTTTGTACACTTACACCCGTTTAACCCCTTTGCGCTGGCAACTGATTGCGGGTAATCGTCGCTTTCTTTTTCTTTTGAACTCGTCGGTACGATATCACTGGATAGAAATTGTTAAGGAATAATAAACTTATCATTTACATCGTTTCTAAATATTTCCTTTCCATTAATATTAATTATCATTGCTTTTGTTAATAATATTATTAAACTTCTATTAATATCAAACCTCCAGTATTATTACTCGTCAATTAATCAATATTTGTTGAGTTAATAATTAGTAATAAAATGATTGACTTTACAAAAAGAAACTTGCAATTTAACCAATTGCTCTGGCAACTGATTGCGGACCATAACGAGTGACCGAACCGTATACAATAATGCGTCGTTTTCTTTTTCTTTTGAACTCGTCGGTACGGTATCACCGGATAGAAATTGTTAAGGAATAATAAACTTATCATTTACATCGTTTCTAAATATTTCCTTTCCCATTAATATTAATTGTCATTGCTTCTGTTAATAATATTATTAAACTTCTATTAATATTAAACCTCCAGTATTATTACTCGTCAATTAATCAATATTTGTTGAGTTAGTAATTAGTAATAAAATGATTGACTTTACAAAATGAAACTTGCAATTTGACCACGTTGCGCTGGCAACTGATTGCGGACCATAACGAGTGACCGAACCGTATACAATAATTCGTCGATTTCTTTTTCTTTTGAACTCGTCGGTACGATATCACTAGATGGAAATTATCAAGAAGTAATAAACTTATCATTTGTTTTGCCCGGGTTACATTTAAATATACTTGAAATTGAGAAAATGTTGCAATTTCGAATAAAAAGTTTTCGAGGTGCGTCGAACGTCATTCCAGCGCAAGAAGTTAATTGGCCGTGTGTTGCTCTTCGTTTCATTTTTCAAGTATCTAAATAATGCAATGAGTATGTAATATTTTGTCTCTCGTCTAGACAGCTTAAGAATCAACTTGGAACTATTTACAATTTAGAAATTATTGTTGGAATACGTGCATTGTGCAAGTTCCATTAGTCATTCTGTTTGATTCGTTCGTATCGTTTCAAATTTTGGAGACAAAACATTAAAGAATTAATTATACTTTCGACAGAAAGTCACAAAGATATCCTAGATAGTATCGAACGTGAATAGTTACGTCGAGGTACGATGTTCAAACACACGTTAAGTAAATTTTTTTTGTTAATTCATACACTTATCATCTGTTTTTGTAAGACTTGTATCTTCGAGCTTAACAAGTTGACGTCAAAGTGAAAAGATTGATTTCCTTGTATGTTCAGATTTCGCGTAATGTGAAATATTAAATCACACAGTAGAAGTCCATTTGTGTGAGCGAAATTTTAACTAATTGCAAGTCAGAAATAGTGTGTCTAAATCAATTTTTTGCGTATTTTGAGTATAACATATTTCGATAGGAAATCTCATAATATTTTTACGTAAAAATGATAAAATATACACATAAAAGTTCACACAAAATATGACAATAGTGTATCCTGGGAGCTGTTTTTAGATCAAAATCAATTTTTTTTTTTATTACAAATATGTGTGATTTGTAATAAGGTACAATAAAATGCATTATTACTCTCGAGACACAAGAAGATAGTTTGTAAAAACGTTTGTAAAATTCATTCAAGCAAATTACCTAAATTGCGCGAGCAACCACTAGAGCTGACTAGAGTGAAGAGCTCGTTGCTCTCCACTACTCTCTCGTCCTTGTAAATCACGCATCAGTCGCGAGTCTCGAATCATTGCAATTCGAAAGGCGAATCCTATCTTTAGGTAATGAACACACGCGTGCGTGTGTACGTGTGTACTGTCGTGAACGAGGGAACGTTTCCGTCGAACGATCCGAAACCTGTAAAACTGGATTCACCTTGCCCGTGTGCCGATACACACATCGAAATTGGAAGCTTCGTCCGCCAGCCGGCTGATATCGTCGTGTACGAGCTCTCTGCGTCTCGTGGTCGTCAGCTTTCAGGCTCGTTCGATTTCATTCAAGATCTTTGCGATATCCTCGCGAGCTCGATGATTTTTAGGGTGCGTCTCGGTCCCACGATCGAGAGGTTTTAAATTTAAACCATTTACGTCAGCGTTCGATTGATTGATTCGTGATAATAGGGCACAATTGTGAGGCTCGTTCCTCTTAACCTTCTATGGGCTGAATTTTTTTCTTAAATATAAAAAAATTTATGCAACGAAAAATCAACAATTATCAACCTATATGTGCAGGTTAAAAGAAAATTTAGTTTAAACAATTTTAAATAAATCTTATTATAATTAACTTTGAAGTAACAACAACGGTTTACAATATTTGCACTTTTGTGCATAAAAGCTCTTAAGCGTGAAATTCCATGAAACAGTTTGCACTTGGCGTTGAACATAGATGTACGTTACATTTGGAACATTTTATTTTTGGAACTTCTTTGCACTCCGACTTTTCGCAGTATCCTCTGTTGTCTGTCATCAATATTGTTATTGATTATTCCAGAGACATTATATAATTATGACGTATACGTCATCTTGTGAAAAAGCTAAAATTATTTGGTAAAATGTCGAACCTAACTTTTTCGGCGGGCTCTTTTGAGGTAGTAGTCAAGAACACAGTCATTAAAACTATCGATATATATATATATTATATAAATAATGTAATATAATATAATTATAATAGTAATAAATAATTATACCGATATATATAAATAATTATATACACACAGGATGATTCAAGTAAAATTGCACACCTAAAACAACTTTTGAGTTACGTGTCTAATGAAAAATTGGTTTTAAAGGAGGCAAAATATAAGACGTATCAATTTTTTTATTACAGATATGTGCTTCTTTGTAATAAGGAAGTAAATTGATACAATTAACACGATGATACATCTTTTTCATTGATTGCATGTTGCTTGTCGATGAAAACAACATTATAAATTATAAAACAATATAAATATTATAAATTATAGAACAACATAAATAGTATAAATATTATAAATTATAAAACAATATAAATATTATAAATATTGTAAATTATAAAACAATATTATAAATATTAAAAATGTAGTTTATTTTAGTATAAAAGGATGTTTATTTGAAGTTAGAAATTTTATTTAACGGTGACTATAAGATTAAAATTGACACTCGCTATGTTCCCTTTATACTCGCTACTCACTCACTAGATCTCGCTGTCTCTTCACTCACTGAAGACTCACAACTCTCCAACAGATTTCTCATCTGCACGAAACGTTCGTCGCTCATAGACACATGCACATACCCTTAATATTTTAAGTGCCAGATTTGGAAGACTAGAATAACCATTCCTAAGTTCCAGGTCCCAGGTCTAACTTTTGTTCTGCTAAACAGATGACACGCAGGCGAAAAATGTGAAAAAAAAAAAAATGAAAATATAGAAGAAAGGGTTAAAGAGTTTCGTAAAATATATATATATATACATATCACGGTAGCAACCTTCTCTAGAAATTCCTATTTGAATTTCAATGTACGATGTTCCATTTATAGTGTCATTTATAGCTACTCCTGTTCGTGCACGGAAATTTTCGGCTTCGGGTCGCGTAGACACGAGAAGCGTAAAACATACGTACGCCTCTCCCATTACTCTCGCGCCTAAGTTGGAAATTCATGGCAGTTGGAGGAACGAGGCGAGATCTTTGCAAACATTCGGCTTTTAGGTTGGAGATGTATGCCGCGGCTGTATTAAATTTATAACCACGTGTACGAAATGTATGTACGACACGATACGACGAAGTTGTTCCGAGGGAGAGATTTCTCTCGCATAAGACTTGCGTATCTGTTTGCCGAGAATGAAGCACGACGTTTTTCCTTTTTGCTTTTGTTTGTACAACGCAGCAGCAGGGATGACCCGCACGATGGCCCGGCGTGTGTGTACGAAGAATTTTGCAAGCATATCTTTGCTGACGAAGTGCTGAAAGTTGTTTGAAGTTCGGTGCCCGGCGAGTTACGAAAAATGTGTGTGCCGAAGACGGAAAAACAGGAGAGAACGCGCGTGGGACGGGATGGAGAAGTTCTGTAAAATTTAATTATTGTGGGCTTGACGAGGCGGCTTTGAGAGGAATAATATTGCTTCGATAACATCTACGTAGCTGTGCAATTATTACGCAACTCTTTCTACGTATAATTCTTGCGTAGTTACGCGATTCCCTTGGATTTGGTGATTATTTGACGAGTTGAGCAAGGAGTCGGAGGAAAGTGAACTCGAGAGAAGAAAATTCCAAACTGAGAAAGAGGCGTAGGAAATTAGAATTACAAGAGGAAAGGGGGGGGGAAACTTCAAAGGTAAAATAACAGTTCTGCAGATAAACAGAATTGTAAATAAGAATCTACGAATAGAATAATTCAAGGGAACAACAACAAACACAGGGAACGAAGTAATAATTGAATTATTTGCGAGTATTCTTGCGTCTACATCGTGAACAAACGTAGAGAGGATACGATTCGTATTATCGCGATAAAAAAACCCACGATTCGTGTCGATCGATACACGCGCGTTTCGCCTGTTGCTTTTCTGTCGAAACGAGCTACACTTCGGGTTGTCATAAATCAAGATCTACAACTCATCGTGACGACTGTATTACTGGATCATAAATATTGACCGTCGAAGACAGACACATTGAGAAGTGAATTCTACTTTGTCGCAGAAGAAAAAAAGAAGAAACAACGTTCGAAGAATGTATTTTACAAGTGACGAAAGCAATGGTTAAACAGTTGGATACTTCGTTACATCGCGTTAGAAGCTAGTTTCAATTAGTACTATAAAACGAATTCTCCCGAAAACTGCACAAAGTCGCTCCTACAAATTATCGTTATATTTTCAAAATGTTTCATACGGATTTCGGTATAATTATTTTTCTCTAAACGAGTTCTCGAGTCGGAACGGAATTCTTTATGTCGTACATACTAAATACTAAATCGTATATTATCCTACATGCTGAATATCACGATTTTCACGATTTTATTATCGTTTCTCTTTGATTAAAATTCGATTTAATTTGATTTTCTCAAGTTACAACAGCATGCCTGAAAAAATTAACATCTTGCGCTAGTAACCGATTGCGGACCATAACGAGTGACCAAACCGTATACAATAAGTCGTCGCTTTCTTTTTTTGAACACGTCGGTGTTGATATCGCGCTGTAGATAGAAATTATTAAGAAACATACTTAAAACTGAGAAAATGTTGCAATTTTTAGGAGAAAAGAATTCTCGACGTGCGTGGCACGTCATTCCGCCACAGCGCAAAAATCTAGCGTGAAAACCTAACCTAACCTAATGTGCCAACAGGAGGGAGAACCAATCGCGTAACAGTATCGTTGTGACCTAACCTCGTTAAAACGGACGGTGGTTGCGCAAAACGAAAACGAAATTCCTATAGAATTCTGGCACAAAGGTAATAAAATCTGGTGAATCGGCACGCATAATTATTACGCGCGTGGATACAGGCAGAGAAACGTTCCCTTTTTCGAGGAATAAGTAGCAAGATGACTGAGTAACGGTTTACGCGCGTTGCGTCCTCGGGAACTTGCTTCTGAAAACGATCAAACGGTTAAGTATGCAAGACGCGGCCACGGCCCATGAATATTAACCGTTCGGATCGATGGAACTCGACGCGGTGTTAATTATCGATGGAAGAATTCGGGGGTAATACCGAACGAATCCGGCTCACTGAAGAAAATACATCGGCCGAACAATGGACGAGGTCAATGGTTCATTGGAACGGAGCTGGAATTTATTAATACCGCGATGAACCATCAAAATAACTTAATGATTTCCTAATTTCGCAGATTCTGAACGATGTTTTGTAAAATGTGCAAATAGAATTTCGTGTTCTTTGTTCTAATCACCTGAGAAAACACATCGGCCGAAAAATAAACGGAGAACAGCAGTCGACAGTTCGTAGATGATAATTTATCAACACCAGACCCATCAACGAAATAAACTTATATTATATAATTTTCTAGAGTAGTTTCACAGATTTTAAAGATTCCAATGATTTTTTATAAAAGATAAGTTCTTCGTGTTCTTCGTTCGAGTCCATTGTGTCAAATCCATTTTTATTCGAATATATGGGCTGTTAAATTTAAAAAAAATCTCGAGCACGCGCCTATATATTTTCAGTTTTATCATCCTCGTATTTCGCTTCGTCGACCAATGAAACCACCGCGAGAATACTAATCGCACCCTCGCTCGTCGATCGCGAGCGCTCGAGGATCCTCCTCTCGGGAATTAGCTTGGCACTCGAGGATCCTCCGTCCGTCCGCGTGCTACGTGGATCGTCCAAGTTTCCATGTCCTCGACGCGAAAAAGGAAACAAAAAAAAGAAAAGAGGAGGGGGGGGGGATAAAAAAACAATTTTTCCGCGCTCCAAAGTCCCCCTCGTGCATGAACCTCGGGGTAGCGAGCGAACCCGCGGAGAACTCGATGGAGAAGAGGCTCGTAAAGTTCTCTCAGCTCTCTGTGATGCACCGAGTTACGCTCTTGCTCGCAGCTATAGTACAGCTCTTGCTTCTTTTTCTCTCTTCTCTCCCTCGTTCTCTGCCTGTCTGTCTGCCTCTGTGTGACAACCTGCACACAGAAGTCCGGCACGAAGGCGCACACGAGTGCTTTCCACGGTACGACGCCGACGGGAGCTATCGGCGACGAGAGCACGTGCTGCACGCGAGCCTCCGACCGAACGTGAGGACGATTTTGCATGAAATATGCAGGCCCCCGGTTTCTCTCCTCCGCGTCCACCGCCCCTTTTTTATTTTTCTTTTTTTCTTTCTTTTTTCCTTTTTTTTTCCTCCGTACCAAGAGAGCAACCGGCTCTATAATACACCTTTATAGATTCCAGCTTGCACGGGTTCCACGTTCCCCTCGCCGAACAGCGATTTCTCTTGCGCGAATTTTCCACGCGTGTGTCACAAGGTTCTACGAAAGTATCGCCTCTCTTTCTTCTTGGTCTTTTTTTTTAATTTAGCCCAACGGAACTGTCAGTGACACGCACGATCGATTTGTCGTACGTCTTTCCTCGTTTCCCGCGTGACGCGTTTCTTTCGAACGAGAAAGAAGTATCTCATTGTTTGATAAAGTGACGAATGTTTGTTACAGCAGCTCGATAAAGTAAACGAGGAGATTAACAAATATTTAATTGAAGAATCTGTCTCATTTCATACGCCACGTGTGTCTCCTTCGCCCTGTTCCAACTTGCACGAAAGATTCTCGTTCGATATTTTTCTCGAGGTACACCTACACCGGAACTATATATATCGCGGCTTACAGTTCCTACAATTCACAACTAAAATTGAATCCAAGTCCGCTAATACTCGATTCACCAAAAGTAATAATTGAATCACACGATTTACACTTTGTAACACTGCTTGAAGTTGTAAACAGTGATGCAAATTCAATTATTCCGTATCCACGGATTTATTATTATTACTCCAGAATAAATCGTTTTGAAAGCTAGGACATTTTCTATGTTCTATTTCTAAGACTTCAAGCTACTATCTAAAATAAAAAAAAAATCGAAAACTGTCCTGATCCCTTAAATTACAATATGAAACAATTGCACAACAATTTCCCTTCTGTTCTTCTAGCTTCGTTTGTGCCATCAGCTATCAGTCTTTGACTCTCGGTCGCATTTTCTCCTCTTTTCCCTTGTCTGTGTATCGGTTTCGGACGGTATCTCCTCTGTTCATCAGTCCAGGATATTGTCTTATGGTTTTGAACTTACGCACCCCGTGGACGGATTCTGTTATTTAACCAACAACCATGCCGACGATTCTCCTCTCTTTTTCCCTTGTCCTTTCTGCAGGTTTTCCTTGTTTGCCCCAGGCGCCACCCCTCCTCGTGTATTTCTTTTTATTTCAATCCCCAGCCTGTTCTGCTATTTCCCCGGTCTTTCCGAGGTCTTTCTTCCAACGTAGCACACCAAGGTTCCAATGCAAACTCTCGGTTTGTCATGGCCCTTTTTACCTACCAGGGCCTCTCTCTCTCTCTCTCTCTCGTTCTGTCTTGGTCTTCCAGTCCAGTCTAAGGGGAGAAAGAGGGTTTCTTTCCACGTTTCCCTCTTCCGGTCCGGTCTTTTCTCTCCCCTTTATTGGCAAGGGGTAGCTCAGCGCGCTCTCGTTTCACTAAGTTTGTCTCTCTTTCTTTCCTCGGGCCGCGACAGCAGTCCGTGAGTATCGAGAACCCTTCCTGAACGAGTGCATGAATATTTCAAACGTCCGCTTCCAGCCAACGATTCACCTTCCTGGTCATCTACTCTCGCACGGTTTTCCATTTTCCCCGCCGCAGTTCGATGATCCCGCGGAGTGAAAACGACGCTGGATATAAACACGCGCGTTAGCAGAGATCGCGAACGTGTTTCGAACGTGCACCGAGACACAATATTTCGCACACGAGATGGAATTCACTCCCAGTGTTCTTAACACATTACCTGCCAAAAACAATAAGTTCTCATTTCGACGCCGTGTTCGAGAAATTTACCACGTGTTTATGCGCTAGAAATTTATTTGTTTATTTGTGCATTTGTACGTGTTTTAGAAAAATAATTCGCGCGATGCTAAACAGGCGAATATATTTATTTATACTGGAGGAATGCAAGAATGATATAATATAATTTATTATAATTTAATTTATAATGTGTATAATATATAATATTTATAATTTAATTTATAATATTTATAATATAAATATTATAATTTAATTTAAAATATTTATAACATAATTATTATAATTTAATTTGAAATATGTATAATATATAATATATATTTATAATATATTATAATATTAATATTATATAATAATATATAATATTTGTAATATATTATAATATTAATATTATATAATATTTATAATATAAAATAATATATAATATTTATAATATATTTATAATATAATTTATTATAATGTAATTTATAATATATATGATGTAATATTTATAATATAATTTATTATAATTTAATTTGTAATACATATAATATATAATATTCATAACATAATTTATTATAATAAAAATAACTCCATACAGCGTCTATGAGAGGAAAAAACATGTCACGCGAAACGAAAGAACTGATAAGAAAAAAAGAATGATTGGCGACTCGTGTAACCACGCCACGTGTACCATTGTCGGTACACGGCTTCAAAAATATTTTAAACAGCATGCAAAGTATAGTATATTTTATATCGTTCACGAGAAACGACGAGCGTTCTCAAAATTTCGACAGATAGATAATCATCGTCTGTGCACTGATTGAGCTTCGGTTTTCGTAAAGGAACTTGTTTGATCACGATCGGATGATATTCTCTCGGTGCAATCGCAGGTGAAACCGATTCGATCTGCCAGGTGTGTCGAAAATTCGATCGTGAGCCAGGCCGAAGGCGGGGAAGGCCTTTCAAAAGAAACACGGTTTGCGTCAGCCGATACCGTTAAGCTGATTTTCGGATGATCATTAGTCGACTGTGCTGTTAGAATCATCAAATAACTTTGCACAGAGGTAGCGGTGTGTCTCTAAAGCCAGGTGAGCAAAAATCTTCGAAACAAATTGTATATTCCACAGTCGTGAAACGTGGCTGGAAGTCGATCGATGGTTCCTGTTCGAAGCTGTTCGCTCGGGCATAAAACAAGTCGATCCGCCTGAGAGAAAATTTTCTCTCCTCGGCTGGTGTTTGACGACTGACGTTTGTTTAATTGAAATCGGAACACGTATACAATTATATTTTCATTTCCTTGTCTGTTTTATTTTTCTTCGCCAGTGTCTATTCTGTACAGTGTAATTTCGTTGCGAAATATTTACACTTTTCTTAGCAGGTTAGAGAATGGTAATGATTTTAATAATTAATTTCGAGGATTTCGACAATCTTGAATTTTTATATCTGTTTGGCTGTGTGTTAAGATAAACAATTAGATAATCCTCGACTTAACAATTCGCAATTTACAAATTCTTCGCAACTAGAGGTCAAAATCTGTGGTGTAATTGTTAAAATGAAATTCGAAATGAAATTTGACTTCTGATACTGAATTTTTACTGATGCTGAAAGATCGTACAGCGAGGTAAGAAAAATATATAATTTGCAAAACAAAATGTTTTGTTCATTACAGCGGTACTATTTATTGCTCAGTAGTTTTAATACTCTTGTACTATAAAAATTTAAACTATAAGCTACAATTTAACTAACTCTAAATTAAATATAAATATTAAATAATTTAACTATAAATTAAATATAAATATTAAATAATTTAACTAACTATAAGAATTTAATATTGCAAAAAGCATGAACATAGAACCTGGTGTGAAAACATTTCACTGAGAATTGAAGGTGGCACCAATACTTGTTGCAATCAGTACACATTCGAACAATCTTATTTATTTTTGCTTTAAATTGCAGTGCCACCCGACAAAATTCTAAATGTAACATTACCGTAATTTCCTTGCAAATCATCTGATAATAAATTAAATTGCATCGTTCTGCTCTCGCTGTTATACTATAGTATAAAATATGACAGTATCCCCACCATCACTCTCTTACCACGCTTTCTAACTTTTCTAAAATCAAATTTTCCAAGAGTGGCCTCGCGCGTGAAATTTCTTTTCTTTTCTATTTCTATTTCTGAAAATGAACCGCGCGTTAACTCCGTTAACTCGCCCTTCGGCGAGATATAATACTCTCCATTCACGCGGCAACGTGTCTTTAATATTCATTGCAATTTGCAAGTCTCCCCAACCACCATTGATAAATACGAGGCGTTTTAATCGATGCGTCTATCGCCTGAATGTCTCTCTCTCTCTCTTTATTGGCAACATGCGAGTCTTCTCTCGCACGCCTGTGTGAACTTTTACGTAGACGATCATCGCGAGTGACAAGCGATATCCAGCGAATGGCGGCGATCGATTAAAAGTCGATTAAAAGTAACCTCGCTCTCGATTAATCGCGCCGGCTTGTTGATCGCTTGTCGAAAAACACGCGTAGGCACTCGGATCTTATTGTCGTACGCTCGCTCAATTTCGAGGTGTTGTCGTATTAATGAAACTTCAGAATGTTTCATCTAGCGTAACATCAACCGTGAAAGGTTCCTGTAAGATACCTATAATAACCTAAACGAAATTTTATGTCGATTATCTTGTAATTTATACATGTACGTATTTTATAGTTTCCTGAGCAACTGTGCACGGGCTCATTTTGTCAATCAGTGTATGCAAATATCCTTTCGTTACTAAAACTATCAATCGATAAAGCAGTTTCAATCCTTATATTTAATTGTATCTAATAATTTCGTGTATTGCAGTAGTCGTGTAATAATGACCAAACTGTTTTCGTTGACTTTGACGATTTTATCAAGAAAGAAAAAGAAAAAAGAAAAGTATTTCCATGGTGCAAACGACTTTTAACCAAAAGTGATTATATTCAATTTGCATATTCGATTATGTTGTATCTAATAATTATATTTTTCTATTACATTTAATATGTTATAATAGTCATATAATAGTGATCAAACTGTTCTCCGTTTTCAAACTGAAAATTTTATTCAGAAAGAAAAGGGTATTCCCATAGCAGAAGCGACTTTTAATCAAAAAATTCTTATATTCAGTTTGTATTTTTATTCAATTTGCATATCCGATTATATTATATCTAATAATTATATTTTTTTATTATATTATGACAAT